TTATTTTGTGCAAATGATAATTGTAGATTTAATATGCTGATTGCAAATAGTTAAAGAATTAAATGAGTATTTTCTCCAATAATCTTCATAATTTGTGAAAAAATGTGGCAAGTCAATCTGAAAACTATTTAAATCACCTCAATCTTGGCTGGTACCCAATCTGACACGAGTAAAGGTTTGGCCCGGCTCGGCCCTGCCTAAAATCTGTAAAGTCCATTCCATATTGGACTCTAATCTCAAATGCCCTTCCGTACCCTAACAAAATCTCAAACGTCCCTCTTCTAAAATTTATTTTCTTTTTCATTTATATTTTAAATAAAAACGCGTGAAAAAACAACGAATGATATGATAAATCCTCTAAATTACAAACCAACCTAATAATAATTAATTGGGTTTTGACCCACACTTAAATTTAAATCTGGCCCAAACCCAGACCCAAACTCCGACCCAAACAAAATCCAAAAACAACTTCTTTCTCTATCAAATCCCTAATTTTCGATCAAAGCTAACTTTTCATCTTCTCCACCACCACAATCGAAGTGGTCCCTTTCTCCACCATGATCAAAACACAAACCGATCAAACACTCGTCGCTGACATCACACCTCCGAAAAACCATCATCCGTCGACTCTGATTTTTCGATTATGTCGCTGCGTAGGAGAGGGGTTCGGTTGAAAACGTCTTCCCCGGATATACTTCATCACCGCCGCCGTCAAGTTCAAATCTGCCGGTGAAGAAGAAAACAGCGGCGGAGAAGCGTCCAGCGGCACCGCAGAAGAAGTCACAGAAGAAATCAAAATCAAACGACGGAACTTCCAATCCTCCGCCTCCACCTCCAGCGGATTCGGTGACTGAACGAGAAGAAGAAAATCCGCTGCCGTCGAGTTCAAATCCGTCGGCGAAGAAGAAAAGAAATGGGGAGAAGCGTCCGGAGGCACCGCGAGAAAAGAGAAGAAGTCGCTGAAGAAATCAAAGTCCAGTGCTCCGCCTTCGGCGGCTCTGGTGACTGAACCAGCAGAAAAAAGTCCGCCTCCGGTGACTGAAGGAGAAGAAGGAACTATTGTGGCTCCGACGGTGCAACCGGCAACCGGCCCGCCTCCGATTCCAGAACCGGCAACCGGTTCGTCGTCGCAACCACCACTGGTAAACCCTAAATTTTGTTGTACAATGGCTAGTATAACTTGGTCCAACTAGTCTGACTAGTATGAGTAGTTCAACTAGTTCAACTAGAACGGTTAATATAACTAGTCTAATTAGTTCAACTAGTCTAAGTAGGTCAACTAGAACAAGTAGTACGATCATTTTAGATTGCATGAAATGTCGAGTCTAAGATGGAATTGGGTTCAAATCTTATGAATAGTATAACTAGGTCAGCGATTATGGTTTATTTTCGATATAATGAGTTTCATCGATTTTGGTTTATTTTTATTAGGTGAAGATGATGTGGATACAGTCTGAACTCCTACGAAGGTGAAAATCAACAAACAACTTAGTCTTCAAGCCCAAGCAGCAAAGAAACTGATTAAGAAAATTAAGAGGAGTAAGACTTCAAGGCCAAAAAGGAAGTTGAATCGTTCATGTTTGGTGAATGACCATTTTGTTATTATGTAAGAACTTAGGCCTTTGAACTTATGTTGTGTGCTATGTTAGAATTTGTCTTTCATGATTTGGACATATATATTTTATGCAAGTCTTTTTTTATGTGTTGAATTAAAAGATACAACTAGCAGAACTAGACCAACTAGAACTGAATTTAAAAAATGTATGGCAGCAAAAAAAAACGTGTGGCAAAAAGTTTAAAATGGATAAAATATGAAGTCACGTGCGTCGACAAAAGAGGAAATGAATAAAAAATGACCACTTGCACCGTCAAAACAAAAATTGAATCCAATTTTTTATAACATAATCGTACCTAGTTTTTAGTTGTACCATATATACATAAAATTATATTTTGATGATAAAATTTTGTAATCAGTAGTACCATATCCTAAATTAAACTTTTTTAGTTGCACTTGTGAAATTTAGTAAATAAACTACATTTAACATATTCTAATGCTATAACTTGTATAAAAATACAAACTTATATGGTTTTCATGTTTGTGAAGTTAAGATTTTCAAAGTAACCTTAAAAGTATAAGGTAGATTGTGTAGACATCACATTTTTATGGATCAAACATTTTCATGTATCAAATTTATTTAACTATGAAAAGTTCAAATATGTTTGCACATGTTCTATGGCCTGTTTTATATGGAAATATGTTTACAAATACGTTTAGAAATTGTGTTATTGGCATTTTTGTTGAAAGCATAGTCGTACTGGTTTTCTTAGTTGGACTTGAGTACAACTAAAATGTAGTTAAACTAGTTGTACTTAAAACGAGTGGTACTAGTCGCACCAGTCGTACCAGACATATTAGACACGGAATATAGAGTTGTACTAGTGGATAGTAACTAATTTTCAGCAGAGATGTAGCTGCATCTGTTAAAACTTTTCTGCAAATTCCCTCCACTAATCGAACATAAGTGACATCCTCCTAAGATGTCCTCATCACTAAAGTGTGAATCTCATCTTCTCCAGAATTCCATATAATTTTATCACCATCTTTTGAATAGAATCCCCCATAATCAAAATATATGACTGTGCAACTACTCATACTCATTTCCCTTGAAAAGAACAAAACAATCGTAAGTTAATCTTATCATAGTTGTACCAGTTTTACTAGTGGTACTTAAGATGTCTAGTTACGCTAGTTGTACCAGTAGTACCCAGAAAGTTTGGTTCATCCTACTCGTACTAATTCACTTAATATGTCCAGTTGTGCTAGTTGTACCCAGTAGTACCTAGAAAGTTTGGTTAATCCTAGTCGTACTAAATTCACTTAATATGTTCAGTTATGCTAGTTGTACCCAAAAAGTTTGGTTGATCCTACTCGTACTAATATGTCCAGTTGTGCTAGTTGTACCTAGTAGTACCCAAAAAGTTTGGTTTATCATACAAATCATCACTAGTTATTACGATTCATTGCTCAGTTAACCAAGATATCATATTTAATTAACAATATCAGTTTCTAATAGCCTTACCCAACTAGCTCAGCAGTTCCAATGAGCCAAAAAAAAATCAAAATTTTCTTTACTATGAAATTCTCTAATTAACTATGTATTAATTGTTTTGCCTATGACATAAACTTGATAATTCAATCAAGAAATCGAAAATAGTATAAGAAACGGCAACAACTAACCTTCAATTTCATGCCTCCGATTTTGTCAATGGTGGAAACATGAGAGGAAGAAGACGACATGAGAGGAAGAAGACGACAAGAGGATCAATAAAATTAAATTTTGGTTGGTTTGGTTGGTTTAGAGGATTAAATTGCAATTAATTTCCTACCAAATCGCTGCTGTTTTTTCTTTTTCTTTTTCAATTTTTTTTTTTGTTTTAATGAAGGACAAAATCGGCAATTTCAATCTAAGAGGGGCAGTTCGATTTGTGAGGGGCAGTTAGAATTCTCCTCTTGTACGGAGGGGCAAACCAGATTAAAGTCCTTCCATATTTTGCACCAATCTGAAAATCATTGTCAATTGGGCTGGCTCATCCAGGTCTGGCCTGAAACCCATAAAACTCATATATATCTAAGTCCAGCTTGACCCAAAATTTTTTCAGATTTATATTTTAAAGTCTGGCCCGGTCTTAATCGGGTAGTTTTTTTTTAGTTTTCAGATTTTTTAAGAAACAAAAAAGCAAAAAAAAATTATTAAAAATAAATCTAAATTAAACAATGATTCATATGAATTTATCAAATTCAATTCAAGTTCAAAGAAAAAAATTGATTTTCATAAAGTTTAAATTATTTATAATATCAAATAACAATAAAATTTTAAAACATTTTAAATCTATATAGTAAAAATTGTAGATTCGAGATGTAAATAGTTTAACCTGATATTTATAGAGAGGCGTAGAACTAGAGAATTATAGTTTCTAATTATTTAAAAAATTATATTATTATTTTTAAACAAAGTAATTATATAATAAAAATCTATAAATAAACTATAAGTAGTTAGTACTTTGCACAGAATAAAATGATTATTAAATAAAATAATTTTAGTTAAATATTAAAGTTTGTTACATGCAAATCTAATATATATTTATATTATTTATTCTTATTGAATATATTTTTAAAAACAACTTGGTTAAGATTTTTAGTTACCTTAAGTAATGTTTAGCAATAAATTTTAATATATATAGATTTGTTTTTTCAATATATATATAGATTATAATATAAAATGTTTTGCAATTAAATTAAATAAATTTTAAAAAAATACAAAGAAATTGTGATGTCGACACATCAACAAAACTAGTTTACAATGTTTCTTCTTTGATATATAGTAGATATAAATTTTTGCAGGGTTTTTCTGCAAAGTTTGTACCCAGTCAAACTTAAGTTTCAAAATTGATAAATCTAGGAATTGGCCGAAAGGATCAACTTTTTTTTTTTAATATGTAAAAAAAATCTGAATCCAATATTTTTTAGACCGAATCGGGCAAGACTCCGATTTTTAGTCTCTAATTGACACCTCTAGATATGGAATAGTTACATTATAAAATAGAATATACATACACAAACAAAACAAAAGTAGGGTTAGACGACTACGGTTTTAACTGGTAACCAATAAAAAAAGAATAGGAATGAAAAAGAAAAGAATGAAAGGAACAAAAGGAAAAGAATGAATAGGAATGAAAAATATATAAGGAAGTAAATAAATATTTTTTGTTCCTCCCCAATTTTAATAAGGAATACATTTGTTCTATAATTCCTTATATGATAAAGAATAAGAAGGAATGATAGAGAAATATTATTATTAGCAAATGGTAAAAAATTTAAGGAATGAAGAGAAATTCATTATTCTCTCATTCTCTTGGTCACAAGTTGAAGCCTACGTAACATGACCTCCATGGAGGCTGAGACTAGGCCGATGAGAAGTATGCATCCTCCTCAAGCCAAGAAACCTAATAAAGAGGTTTGCATTATCTGTTTCGACGACATTGATTCTGATCTCATGCTTTCAGTTGATCAATGCGGTCATCGATTTTGTCTCAACTGTGTGAAACATCATATAGAGTCGAAGCTTCTTGATGGAACGATACCGAACTGTCCTCAGCATCGCTGCAAGTCTCAGCTAACTATTGAAAGATGTGGCAAGCTTTTGACTCTAAAGATGAGTTTAATGTGGAAACAGAGGATTAAAGAGGACTTAACTCCTTTTACAGAGAGGGTTTATTGTCCATACCCAAGATGCTCGTATCTAATGTCCAAAACCGAACTATCTTCATCTTGTGAATCAGTAGGATTTAGGACATGCTTCAAGTGCAATGGCTCCTTCTGTATCCACTGCAAAGTTCCATGGCATAGTATGCTATCTTGCACCGATTACAAGAAATCGCGTCGTCTTAATGATGACGGAGAGCTGATAGAGATTCTGGCGAAAAAACTTCAATGGCGTCAATGTGTCAAGTGCCAACAGATGATTCAACGTTCTGATGGATGCGGCCGCATAACATGCAGGTACATTACGTTTTTCTCTCTTATGATTTGAAAAGTCTCGTTGTTTTTTTTCATACAATTTTTCGTTTTTATTTCTGATGTAATCTTTTTTTTTTAGGTGTGGACATGTTTTTTGTTACGATTGTGGAGCTGATTGGTACGGCTTATTCCATAAAGGTTGCTATTCTCGGTTGGAGCATAGAATTAGTGTGGTTTTAGTAGTGATGAGTGGTGTTGTTATACTTTTGGCGTTTCTTTATTTTGTCTACCGTATCTGCCTTTTCTTGTGAGACAAGTTACAAGTTTAATTACCAATCTCGGTTTTTTTTTTCTTTTTAATTATTCGGACTAAATAAGTAGATTAGAAAAGTACACACGAAACTAACGAGCTTGATCTTTAGAGGTCATGAATCTGTGTCTCACAAGCAAAGAAAACAATATATTATTTGTTGAATTTATCAAATGTTTATCTTACCAGAATTTAGCAAGAAAACAGACACTAAAAGAATCACTCTTTTAAAGTGTTCTCAGGAAAATTACAAGAAAAATGATTTAAGGAGCTTTTCAAGAAAATTACAATATAAGAGAATTGATTACAAGAAGACATATATATAACAACAGTAATACAGTTTCTCAAGATCAACAACTCTCACCTCGGTTTTCCCGGTTTAGCTCTTATTCCCCGGGTTTAACAAAACCGCTTTCAGGTGAAACAAAAAATCAAGAGCTTATGAACAAAGTAGAAGTTTCCCTTGTGGCTGCAAGTTGCCATTTCTCATCATCGCACAAAACTCCTCATAGTCTATTCTTCCATCCTGCACATACAAACCATTACAAGATTCAGAACCGGTTTAATGTTATAACCGGGAAAATTACAGAGGACAAGACTTACATTATCTTTATCTACTTCTGATATTATTTCTTTGGCACAAGCTTCATCTCCCATGCCATGCTCCTTCATGGCTATCTCCAATTCATCCTTCGTTATGTGCCTATCGTACAAACAAAGCCATTCACATTCATCATATCTTTTAAAACATTGACGTGAATGATGGAGATTAACTTACCCGCTACCATCTTTATCAAAGTATTGGAATGCTTTGTGCAAATGTTCATCTCGTTCCAATCTATGTCTATGCATCGTCGCTGAGATAAACTCGATGTAGTCTATTGTTCCATTACCATCCACATCAGCCTGAAATCAAATATATATCATTATGTTTTTCGGATTCGATCAACAGATGCTGGTTAAAAGAGAAGTTTCTGATGATAGATACTCACGGCTTCCATCAGTTGTTTAACTTCAGCTTCAGAGAGTTTAGAACCAAGTCTGTGCAGCCCAGTTTTGAGTTCTTGATAAGTGATTGACCCGCTTTTGTCGGAATCCATACTCTCAAACATGGTTTTAAGACCTTTGATTTCCTCTTCTGATAGACCTTCTGCGATAACCTGTAAGCCAAACACACAAATCATAATCTGAATCTCAGGCAATATGAGATGTACGCTTCGGTTTATTAGAGGACACAAAGACATGGCGAGACAAGTGAGGGGAGATGTTTAACTGATGGTAAATTTCACAATTTGACTGTAGCTACTTCTTTTACCTTAAGAGCTAGCTTCTTAAGCTTGTTCATAGCTCGGAATTGCTTCAAACGGGTTAAAACAACGCCATCAATAGGCTCATCTGAAGCTTCGCTCTTGATCCAAGGATGTTCTATAGAGACAACCATAAACAAGATAAAGACTTCAAGTTTCACATAGTGTCATCCTAAGTCACAAGCAAGGGATATGCTTCTAAAATCTTGTTCTGAAACTCGCCTCATTTTACAACCCACCAAACACTAACAATCATGCCTTATAAGTTTTTAGTATAAAATTTCAATTTGATTGCTTTAGGATCATAAAGAAAGAGGCTAACCAAGAATCTTTCCAGCAGAGATTCGTTTCTTTTGGTTTTTGGTGAGCATCTTCTTGATAAGGTCTTTTGCACTCACTTGTATAGAAGGCCATGGTTGGCTCTCAAAATCAAGTTTCCCTTCCAGAATCTCATCATCTACAATATCAGAAAACACACAATTACACACTAAAACCCCTGAAGAAGAAGAAGAACAATTCCACATGTATAGTAATTAGTAAGGTTAAGCATTTTTTACTAGTTCTAAATGGGGAGTTGCCGCTGAGTAGGATGTACAATATAACACCTGCACTCCAAATGTCGATTTCTTTCCCGTAGCTTTCCCCTCGTAGTTCTTCAGGAGCAATGTAGTAATCACTCCTGACTTTATCCTTCAATTCTATTCCTGTAGTTGTTGAAAGTACCAATCTATGAATCAAACTATCTAAAAGTGGCATATTTTTCACAATATGATCAAATCATTCCTATGAAGTTTTTCAGATAAACCTGAGAAATCTAATGCATGTTCTCGGGGAAAAAAAAAAAGAAGAGTCTTTCCGGTTTTAAGTCCTACTCCTACCTCTATGCAATGGAACATTGAAGTCACCAATTTAGCTAATGACTGAAGCAAAATATATAAACTAACTTCAAACTTTATCAATTCTATTCCTGTAGTTGTTGAATATATCAAAATACCAATCTAAGGATAAAACTTTCTAAAAATGGCATACTTCCTAGTTCCTACCTCTATGCACTGGGACCTTAACGGCTTAAAGTCACCAACTTTGCTAATGATTGAAGCCAGATACACAAACTTTCATGACAATCATCTCTAGATTCCAAACACTGACACTTCGCAATCGAAGGCCTTATGATTACCTTCTTTGATGTAAACAGAACAACCAAAGTCGATAGCTTTGAGCTTAGCATTCTCTTTATCCTCACTCGAGAACAGGAAGTTCTCCGGCTTAACATCCCGATGAACCACATTCACCGAGTGACAAATCTGCAGAGCGCTCGCAATCGACGAGAAGATCCCGGCGGCGCCTCTCTCCGAGTAATAGCTACCGGATTTAACCAAATCATCGATTCTGTCGAATAACTCGCCACCACTGCACAACTCCATCACGATGTAAACGGAACTCCGATCCTCGTAAGAACCCTTTATCTGTACGATGTTGGAGACTCCCGAAAGGTCCTTCATGATCTCAATCTCCGTCTTCACAGCTTTTTTATCTTCTTCGCTGCTTAGCTTCCTCTTGGGTATGGATTTGCAGGCGAAATGTTCGCCTGTGGAAATCTCTTGGCACGTGTAAGTGATTCCGAAACCACCTTTGCCCAGTTCCTTCCCGAGGCTGTAAAGCTTGTTGAACTCTACCAATGGCTTCCCCAGTATCGTCCCTGCCTCTCGATCAGTGACGAGATCGGATGCTGGTAGGTCTTTACTGCAGAAACAACCCATTGATCTTGAGTTGGGAATGGAATTCTCAGAGGTTTTTTTTTTGTGGAAGATGATGATGATCTTCAAGGATCATCAAAATGCAAGATTTAAGGAGATGGGTTTTGACTTTTGATGGCCATATCTCTTTTGGGTCTTTGTTTTTTGTTTTTTTTTTATATTCTTCTTCTTGCCACGTTTTGGAGTTTAAAGATATTTTACATATTCAATTTTACATAATTTAGAAGAAAAGAATGAATCTTTTTAAGCCTTCGCGCAAAGTTAATGGAGATTCTCAAGAACTTTGCAAAAAGGTGGGGTTTTGGATTTGTTTACAAAGAGCTAAGACATGACAGGTATCTCAAACTCAGTTTTACAAGAGAGCTCTGTTCTTGTGGAATGACTTTAAATAAACTAAAAACCAACATAGGATCACAGACACAGAGAAGAGATATCATTTTGAGACAGTAAAGTGATCAATTCACTCTCGCCTCGGTTTTCACCGGTTTAGCTCTTCTTCTCCAGGTTTATGAATTGGTTTTTCGGGTTGGATCTTTGTTGTTTTGATCAGTGAAACGGGAGTTTCCCTTGTGGCTGCGTGGTACCGCTTCTCATCATCGCACAGAACTCCTCAAAATTTATTCTTCCATCCTGTAACAGAGTCATAACTCATTCATTACAAGGTTTTAAGAACTGGTTTAATGATTTGATGTTGGCTTTATGTTTTAGTTAGAGAGTGTGTGACTTACCTTGTCGGTATCAACTTCGGATATGACTTCTTTGATGCTAGCTTCATCTCCCATCCCATATTCCTTCATTGCACTTTCCAACTCATCCATAGTTATGTGCCTGTTGTGTTAACCAAATCAGTGAATCATGATGCTTAGTTACGAATCTTGATTCTCTTGCTCACAAGAAATGGTAGATGGAGATGATTCTCTTACCCGCTGTTGTCTTTATCAAAGTGTTGGAATGCTTTGTAAACATGCTCATCACGATCCAATTTGTATCTATGCATTGTTGCAGAGATAAACTCAAAGTAGTCGATTGTTCCATTACCATCCACATCAGCCTGTGAAGAAGTTATCATTAAGTGTTTCATTTTTTTATCTTCTTAAAGATTTCGGATGCTTAGAAGTAAAATCAAGATGAAGAAGATCACTCACAGCTTCCATGAGTTGCTTCACTTCAGTTTCAGAGAGCTTAGAGCCAAGTCTAGTCAGTCCGGTTTTCAGTTCTTCATAAGTGATTGTACCGCTTTTGTCGGTATCTATATTCGCAAACATGGTTTTAAGACCTTTGATCTCCTCTTCTGATAGACTCTCCGCAATAACCTGCAAATCAAAACACACAAATCAGAACCTGAAGTTCAGACACCAATAGATATGAAATGTTTCAGTTGATTAGAGAATACAAAGATGCACAGTTAGTAAAGAACGATGTTTTCAAAGATTAATTGAATTACTTATTTACCTTAAGGGCTAGCTTCTTAAGCTTGTTCATAGCTCGGAACTGCTTCATACGGGATAGTACAGCACTATCAATAGGTTTGTCCGGTGCTTCTCCGCCTTTGATCCAAGGATGTTCTATAAACCACAAGCATTGCTACATATTAGTAAAAAGCATTACTAGTTAGGACGACCATAAACTCAAAGACAGGACACAAACAAGATAAGACTTTCAGCATTCACCAGTGCCTTTTAAAGACCTAAACAATGGTACTACTTACTATCTTCTTCTGGTGGTGAGCCTATCGAATTTATAATCATGCTTTCCAATATTAACTTTCAATTTGATTGCTTTAAATCACATACAATACAAATAGAGGAAATCAGATTCTCTTACCAAGAACCTGTGCAGCAGAGATTCGTCTCCTCGGGTCTTTGGTTAGCATCTTCCTGACAAGGTCTTTGGCACTCTCGGATATAGAAGGCCATGGTTGGCTTTCAAAATCGATTTCACCTTTTATAACCTCATCGAATATTCCTTTCTCGTTTTCTACAATAATAAACATATGATTACAGATCAAAACCTCAACAAGAACAGATCTAAGGAGTTTTGGTTAGCTTAAAAGGTTTTCTTTACCAGCCCAAAAAGGAGGTACACCGCTGAGTAGGATATACAGAATAACCCCAGCACTCCAAATATCAATCTCCTTCCCATAACTTCGCCGTAATACTTCAGGAGCAACGTAGTAAGCACTCCCTACTATATCTCGGTAAACTTTTCCTGTAATGATTCGTTTCATAAACAAAGCATCAATCAAAATGAACATAAGAACCAAGCTGACTGAAATGGCATACTTGGCAACATCACATAGAACACAATCTAAAGCAGATGACAAAAAAAATGGAAGGCTATGTTTTGAGTCTTGCCTCTATACATTGGAACAGAAATGACTAATTTTGCTCAAGAATGAAGCAATAACCAAAAATTCATGAGAGTCTTAAAGAATCCAAACATTGACATACCAAAGCGAGACTCAAAGCTATCAAAAACCTAAGGTGGTTCATTCAAAGATCAACGTGCTAAGAATATGTTTCAAAAGCTAAACTTTATATAAGATGCAGAAATTTCTATTCAGTGGAACAGAAGTCACCAATTTTGCTCATGACTGAACCAAAAAAAAATCGCAGATTTTCGATTGTGAAAAAAATTGATATACCAAATCCAAAACTATCAAACTCCTAAAGATGATTCAATCAATAAAAATATGTCTAAAAATTCAAACTTTATGTGAAGAAGAAGAAAGTTCTATGCAGTGGAACATAAGTCACCAATCTTGCTCATGACTGATTATAGATGGTTCAAGACAATCTTGTAGATTCAAAACATTCAAACTCCTAAGAATGATTCTATCAACAAACTATTGTTCAAATCTCTATCTCACCTTCTTCGATGAACACAGACAACCCAAAATCGGTAGCTTTAAGCATAGCATTCTCCTCTTTGCTCGACAGCAAGAAATTCTCAGGCTTGAGATCTCGATGAATCACACCCATGAAGTGACAAATCTGAACAACGTTCACAATCGACCTAATGATTCCGGCAGCAGCTCTCTCCGAGTAATGTCCCTGAGTTATGATCCTATCGAACAACTCACCACCAGCACACAGTTCCATCACCAAATGAATAGATTGTCTATCTTCATAAGCACCTTTGATCTCAACAATGTTCGCTTGCCCAGACAAATACTGCATTATCTGAATCTCTCTCTTCACATCCTCCTTGTCCTGCTTACTGATTAGCTTCCTCTTGAGGATGGATTTGCAAGCGTAAGTGTTCCCAGTGGAAATCTCTCTGCACCTATACGTTATCCCGAACTGTCCTCGACCTAATTCTTTCCCTAAGCTGTAAAACTTCCTGATGTCTTCGAAAGGTTTACCTAAAATGGTGTCTGGATCTCGAACGGAGGTTGGAGACGACGAAGGCGGCGTCGAAATGTGGTGATGGATTGGTTGATTTGGTTGCTGGGTCTGTGGGATTTGAGGTTTTCGATGCTCGGGGACTTGATTAACGACATGGGTTTGTGCTTGATTGATCGGAATTGAGCTTTTTCCGGCGATGTCTTCCTGAGTTTGCCGGTGTTTACTGCTGAAGCAACCCATTTAAGAAAGGAGGAGACTTTCAGAGATTTTTGTTGAATGGTTGAAGAAGAGAAACCCAGATCGGGTTTAAAAGTTTGAAGATTGTCGATGGAGGAAAGAAACAGAGATTTTTGAGTTGTATATGTTTGACTGGAATTGGAATTTATCAGTCTCGTCAATTTCTGAGTGTAAAAGAACTGTAGAAATAAATTGTCTTTGTCAATGTCCTGAATATACTCGGAGAATTAATTAAATTTAATTCTTTTTACGGTAAAATTGGTACAAAGAGAGGAGATTATCTATATACACAATTATGCTAATTTAGGAAAATGAAAATTTAAAATAGAATCTAATAAATTTCAGAAAATATCGAAATTTCGAGCAGTCTAATTATAGTTTTTCCATATACGGAATATTTCATTTTCCTTTTGCTGATGGAAAAATATTCAGATTTTTAATTGGGCCGCTCTCGATGCCTTAATTGGGCCTTACACAATCTCCAATATGGACAAATAGATCTGTTTAGATTAACCAACAATCGCAATTTGAAGCAAATATTACTTTGTTTGATTTGGAATTTTCTTTCCGTTATCGTCGGTTTTGAACAAAAAAAATAATTAGAATAAAAATAATTAATACATATTTTATCTATTTTTATTTTACTTTTAAAATATTTAAAAAAAAAATCAATTTATTCACTTCGGTGAAATATCCAAGTCGGTTAGGTTTTGGTTTATTTAGTAATTAAATTCAGTGTGAATCTAGTTTTTTGTTCATTTCTAAATTTTTGTTTTTCAACATGTCAGAAGCTAAATTCAAGCTTGGTAACATGCGTATTATATAAGACGATTGAAAAAAAGGTGTAATTAATCCATTTTTTTCAATTCAATCATAAACTATGTCATGATAAACTACAAAAAAAATAAATATTATAGGTCAATCAACGTCAATCAAACAAGGTCGTAAGTCAACGAAAAAGAGCATTTGGGTTTGAAAATTGAACAAAAGAAGTAAAGAACCGACAAGGTCGTGAAGGATGAATGAGTTGTGTGGCCATGTTCGGTCTTACAGCTTTTTCCAGTTTTTCTCTCACAACTATTGTCCATTATTATTTTTAAGTTTTTTTTAAAAAACCATTGTCCATTATTACATAAAAATTTATATATACATACACTTAACGCGTCACGAATCGAGAATCTTTTCTTAGACCATTAAGTAAGTGGCCAAAGACATGCATATATATATATATATATATATATATCAAACAAGAACTAGAACTTTCAACCAAAAAAAAAAACAAGAACTAGAACTTTCAGAAACGGCTGTAATATTTCAGGCTTTAACTGGTGACCATAAAAGTAACAATAGAAATGAATAGGAAAATGAATGAAATGAACAAAATAATAGGAATTATTGTTCCTTCTCATTTTTTATAGGGAATATATTAACATTATAGTTCCCTAAAACATAAGGAATGAGAAGGAATCATAGGTACAATATATTTCTTTTAAATGGTGTAATTTATAAGGAATGATAAGGAATTTAGGAGGTGTTATTAGTTCTTGTATTTTAATGGATTTGAGAATCCAAACCAAATTCAGTGTTATTGGTTCTTGTATTTTAAAATCCATATTGAAATACAGTGTTATTGATTCTATGATTTCAAAATTCATAATGAAATACAGTGTTATTGGTTCTATCATTTTAAAATCTAAATATTATAAAAATTTGAGTTTTAATTGAATTTGAATGGATTTGGAAGGATTTTCATGACTAAAATACAAAGATCCAAATACAAGGTCTAACATTGGTATTTGAGTAGATTTAATTTTTTCCCATTTTGCTGATTTTGAAATCAATAAATTTATCAAATCCAAAGAAGATTTATAAATCTACCAAAATACAAAAACCAATAACCCCTACTTAGTATTCCTTTCCATTCCTTATGGTCACCAGTTGGAGCCTCAATAAGACTTTTGACACATTATCTCTGCCTATACTTATAGTAGAATGTTCCATAGAAAATCGAATATGGTAATAGCACCAGTATTTAAGTTGCAAATTGATACTGTAGCCGCTAAAATAGACTAGTTGAAATATGAAAAAAAAAAAAAATGTTTTTGTGCAAGTAGATGTAAAAAGAGGCAAGTATACGGGCCGATATGTTTAAGACAAGATTTGATTGTTTTGCTTAATGTATAGTTTTGGTTTTGGTTTTTTTTTTGTAAACTCCACTACTAATACGATAGTTTGTATTATATGTTTTGGTCATATGCTTTCAGTAGTTAAACGGACATTTTGTCAAATTTTTTATTGCATAGTCAACTTTAGCTGATTAAATTATTAGTATCTCTGTAAGACTGTAACTGGTTTAGCATTCATTTAAAGAATTTGAAGTCATCAGATGTAAGACTGTAACTGATTTAGCATTCATTTAATTAAAGGAGTGTTTACTAAAATATATTTTCGTAACGTTTTCATCAGCTTTAACCTAAACCAAGCCTAACATATCGGCATGCCGTATGCATGTCATGTATGCCAAGTTTTCACTAAATCAAACAATTTTTAATATACATCTAAAAACATTGTGGAAATTAATTAATCTATTTAACCATCAGAATCCTCATTATAAATCGTATTTGTTTCCAATTATCAAAAAATGTTATGCCGATTATAGAAACTAATTAGATTATTTTGCTGTTAATGTAACCATGTATTTTTTTTTTGTCCAAACCAAAATCAAATTCGATAGATAAATATGTTTTACGCGTATGAATTGAAGTATATCATATGAGAAAAATATTAAAACAAAAACAATTAAAGCTCATCAAACTTGAAGAGAGAATAGAGGAGGAAGATCAGAGATAGTTCGAGAAGAAGAAGAAGAAGAAGACAAGAATCGTTTAAGCGATTTGAGGAAACGAGAGATAAGATTGTTGCAAACATAACTATTATTCTTCCTCAGCTTCCTTAGCTTCTTACCAATTCTCATTCTAATCCCAACCACTCTTATCATAATCAACGGTCCAGATGATCTCTTTCTCTGTTGCTGCTGTCTTGTCTTGTTATCTGCTCGATCAAGAACCTTCTGGATTAGAAATTGAGCTCTTCTGTGAATTAATTCTTGGGGATCTTCTTTCTCCATCTTTGTGTACTCGTATGGATTATTCTTCACCATCAATGCCATTGTTTGATCTTTTCTCAGTTTCTTGTTCTTTAAAGTAATAAGAAAGATTGAGTAAGCTAATAACATGAAGTACACATACATATATAGTGAGAGAGAGAGAGAGAGAGAGAGAGAAACCATGTGAGGATTATTAATTAATATGTGTAGACTATACTGTGCGTATACATGTGTGTATGAAACTGAATGAATAGTCTAGGCAGGCAGACCAACCGGAAAATAATAAATAATTAATACATACGTATAATAGGTATTGATTCTTCATTATATACTTCATGATTACAATATTTTAGAAAGATACTAGAAATGATGATTTTTAACGTTTGCGACAAACAAATACCAATTCTATGTAAGGTGAGGAACTTTATTTGCAACATATATAATTATAATAAACAATTCAACTCGTATAAACGATCATATTCACAACCTGCAATTATCTGCATGTATATAGTGTACGTAGGATGTAATCTCAAAACGTTGGATGTTTAAAAGATCGGTATATCTCAATAAACATACTTTTCAATTAACTATCATTATATACTCTTTTTATTTCCTTTTCTCAAATTCATTTTTAGTCTTTTTACTTTGGTTTTCAAAATTAAAAAACGACGTTTGCCAGATAATACCTGGATCAATTGCATGGTTTAGTTCCGATAATTGGTTTGATGTGGTTTATCACGATTGAAAGAACTTTAGAGGCGGCCCTCACATGAAAATTATAAATCTATCTTTGACCTCATATGATTATAAAAACATATCATTATTGACCCTTTGATATTAGTTAATTATATGTTACGTTTCCAGTACTGTTTTTTGCCTTTTGGTGGCATTTATATGACAATACTTGCATGCATGTAACACTATTTTCTAAGGTATCCGATGATGGAAGCAAATGATAAGGAATCTCCGAGTAAATAATATTTTAAATACACATGTCTTAGTTGTTTAGTTCGTATCCAGTGTTGTGATTAATTAGACATAATCATGTCAGCACTCGGCAGAGATGTGTAGTATTTTTTTATCCCAATGTTACAGTTTTTCTAATGCACAACGAAATGATTTCTTCTTTTTTTATCATCTTATTGTTATTAATAAACTATATCACTGAAAAGATCTGGTAAGCAAGAAGCTAAAGCTTGAAAATTTTATTACATAGTGAACGGTGTTCAACATTTCTGAATCATAAACAAATAAAACCAAATATGATTCTCGTAACGATGTTTTAAATGAAGATAAGCGTTAACGTAACTGATACTTTAGCGATAACAAAATGATAATTTTCATAACCGTGTCATATCTTTTATTTATTTTATTGTCTTTATCAATTTTGTGTTCCGGTTGAGCTACTTTTGGGAAAAGTCTACTACTCAAGAATTTTAAAGAAAAAACCAAAAACTTACTAAATTTCTAAACAACCAATAAATATATTAAGAGATGGTAAATTTTCCATATTAAATTTTCTATATTTAGATAAAATCAAAGAGTGTAACTGAAAAGGAGAAAACTAAACTTAAACGAAAAAATGTAATAATTTAAAACTGGATTTTGTCGCACAAAAAAACAATCAAAATTATTTAATTATATTCTAGTTTTCAAAACCTCATGTAGAGACATCTGATTTCTAAAAAAAATATGGTTAAAATCTAAAATTTTAAACTTTCAGCGTTAAGATATACGATCTCTCATCAAAATTTGAAAGATTAACTTTAGCATTGTGAAAAGTTATAAGAGAAAGATGAAAAAGGATACAACCTAAAAGCCATAAAAACCGACTATATACTCGATGAACCGGACCAATTGGTGAAAAGCTAGCGACAAGTTATCGACCGCCAAAGATACATAGATATAGAAGAAATCATTATTTTTTATTTCCTTCACTGAAATTGATTGATAAAAAGTAAATATGAGATAAATGCATCAGAAAATCTTTACCAAAAACGGTAAGTCCGAAAGCAATTTTTTTTTTTTTTTCAGTTCTGCTCAATTGAAACAAAAAAAATTCAACATTAATCATCACTCATCAG